TACTATCCCTTCAATTCGTGTTGGATATAGGACAGCTTCCTTGAGTGTCCGTCAACCACCCATTTTTCTCACTATACTTTAGACATCGACTCCGACATCGTAAAATTTGAAAATATTCGGGGGAAACTTGTTTCCACTTTCCACGACAAACTGGTAATTTGAGGCTAGATATATTTATTTTTATATCGTCTATCCTTATTACAGCAAAAGACGCCAAATCGATCACTTTTACCCTTTAAAAGAAAGATAAATACACCTAAATAAAAAACCTGAATAATTTCTGCCATGTTTGTGTTGTTTTCCTGGAAACCCCATAATGCTTTGCAATTCAAGATGGCCGCTGTTTCATCGAAGTAGTCCATTGACCCTCTAGATTCTCACTGAAGCTCGTTTCCATTAACAGGCATTGATAGAGCTTCTCCAAGGTCCTCGCTTCTCGCAGTGTGAGTCTATTATCATCTACTGCACGCGTCGTGAAGTGACGGAGCGTGTTGCTACCCTGGTCAGAACATGTCTACAGCACTTGACCCCTACCATTAAACCACTTGACGCGGAGGACAAAGAAGAAGAACCAACGAAAAAGAAAGCTAAAAAACGGTAAGATATTTCTTTTTATCATATACTTATCCATAAAATACTTATATTTCTCCTTTTCGAAAAACTGATATATTCACATGTGCAAATAACATGTTATTTTCACATGTGAAAATATCGTTACCATATGTATTTAAGCTATTAGTTTATATATAAAAACTTTTTATAATAATAAAAAGCTTGTTAAGTTGATTTTATGGATAGTTATATAATAAACAGAATATTGCATGGGCGCTTGGAGATACGAAATTTATCTTCGAGTGTTGAAAATCTCTCACTCGTTCGCTGCGCTCACTCGCGACAGATCTTTTCAACACTCGTATCTCCACGCGCCCATTTAATAAAAAGGTAAAGGTAAAGTACCTATATTTAACGTCGGTAGTTCCTTCAGTTGAAATTCAACTGCTATCAATGGAAGCCGACGGTGCGCACTTTACCTCCTCTCTCCATCAGTGCTCACGAAGCTACACGGATTAGAAAGAAGTCGAAACAGCCGTGGAGATCCTAAGGATCGAACCGTGGACCTCAGCTCTGAAGGTCGCGCACTAACCAACTGAGCTACGCCTGCTGCTATAAATATCCTCTATTTATGCCTTTTCTCCTCCCCAGCAAAAAGAGTGTTCGCAAAGCACCTCTGACATGGGAGGCCGAGAGCTACCACGCCGGTATGTCAGCAGCCCAAAGACGCCGTGTGCAGAAGCGCTTTATGTCTGGAGAACTGAGATTAGTCGTAGCAACAGTAGCATTTGGYATGGGCYTGGATAAGTCTGATGTCCGTGCCATTATACACTACAATATGCCCAAGAGTTTTGAGAGTTACGTACAGGAGATTGGACGAGCTGGAAGAGATGGGTTCCCCTCCCACTGTCATGTCTTCCTTGACCGGGAGGTTAGTACCTCAACTATGTGTTTCTTTTATTCATTTGTTTTAGTTGGACGTTTTTTATCTTGTTTCGACCTGTATAACTCTCTTGTGTTCTTTTAATAGCCTTCTTAAAACCTTAAAGGCTATAGTGGTGACCTTATGAATATAATGATGATGATGATGACGATGATGCTCATGTTGACGATGATGATGCTGATATTGACAATGTTGGTGGTGGTGATGATGCTCATGTTGACGATGTTGTTGACGATGATGATGGTGATGATGATGATGACGATGATGCTGTTGTGGATGCACATGTGGCACCTTATATATTGGAGATAATGATTTGATGTTGCTGCTGTTATAACTAATGCTGATGGTGAAACAGTTGATGCTTTAAAGTAAGAATTATTGATACATTATCATGTTTGGTTTTCAATATTTTGATAACTATCTTGGTCTTTACAGGGCAAAGACATGTACGAGTTAAGGCGCCATATTCATTCCAAYACAGTAGACAGAATCACCGTCAAGAAACTGGTTAACAAAGTGTTTCCTCGATGCGATTGTAAGAACCTTCTACGCGCACAGAAAGAGCGGGAAAACMTCAGAGAAACCCAACAAGAATGCGACGAAGCGAATGAAGACGACGAATTTGTAAGTGATGATATCTTAAGTCAAATAACTGAGGAACAAATGAGTGATAAGACAGCTGACGTGGAGGGCGGGATCGATACCCCGTCCAAAACATCCGAGTCTTGTTGCCATGGAGAACTCGAAAAACAATCCAGAGATTTGGAATCTAAATCATTAGAAAACAAATCTCTTGAAACCCAAGGAAACGCGAAAATTAATCCTTCGGAACAAATTAAAGAAGTTGGTGAATCCGCGGTGAATATCGCAGAATCTAATCGTAATGAAACGGACAGTGAAATCAGCGAAGATGTTAAAGACGTTTCTGGAAGGCGAGCTTGCGGAGGGCATGAAGTAGCTATAGCAACCGAGTCAGCGGTTCAACAGCTAGAYATGCCCGAGGAGAGCATTGCTACTTTACTTTGCTATCTGGAGCTTCACCCAAACCGCTGGCTAGAAGTACTACGACCTGTGAAAGGCACGTGCACGGTGAAGTTCTACGGCGGGCATGCGCATTTGAGAGCCGTCGCCAAGAGAATCCCRCCAATAGCAGCGGCAGCTGCTTACTGCGAGAAAAAAGAAACCAAGTTCAAAAAGCAAAGCTCGCTTTCGTTTCCAGTYGTGGAGATTGCAGACAAGATGGGATGGGACTTGGACCCGGTGTTTAGGGAGTTGAGAGCGTTACAGTGGAACTCTTCCCTCGCTCCTGACACGAAGTTAAGTTCATCTGGTCAGTCAGGCATTCTGGTGGAGTTTAGTGATAATTCAATGCACGTGCGCGCGCCTGGTGACTTGAGTAACGAGGAAAGGGATCGAGTATGTGACTTTCTGGACGATCGTATACAAGCTGAAGAAAAATCGCAGTTAAAACAACTAAACATGCTGTACTCTTCACTCAAGAAAGTCTCGTGTAGCGAATACTGGCAGTGTTCTGAGGAGATTGACCAAGAAAGCGATAAAGAACTCAAAAACATGATAAAAGCTTACTTTGACGATCTAAACAACGCTACGCAAAGCGAACTGGAAGACCTGAAGAAAAGGCGGGAAAACGACGCGTGCGATGCCGACAATACACGTGATGAGCACGTGAATTGGGACGGCGTTGCACGTGATATCAGAGTTTTGACTGGCATTCACCATGACCAGTCGTTCACAGGCCGCGCTGTTGCGAGGATCTTTCACGGCATCAGTAGTCCGTGTTATCCTGCAGAAGTCTGGGGTCGTGACCSTCGGTTTTGGAGAAAACATCTTGATGTTGATTTTAACAGTTTGAGAAGATTTGCTATCCGTGAACTCATTAAACTAAAATAAGATAGTGACAATTATCTTCCTTAATCCATGTAAACTTTCCATTGTTTTGTAGTTTGCTAGCCTCAGTCCTCTTAAAACTTGTCATTATTTTCTCTATCTTTATTTCTTTCTTCCTTTTTTTCTTCCTTCCTTCCTTCTTTCCTTCTTTCTTTCGTTATTTCTTTCTTTCCTTTTCTCTCGTTCCCTTTTCTTTCTTTCCTTTCTTCCTTTTCATTCTTTCCTTTTTTCTCCTTTCTTAAAGTCCCCTTTCCTCTCACTTTCTTCCCTTTCCATTTTTCTCATCTCCTTCCTTCCTTCCTTTCTTTCCCTTATTCCCTTTCTTCCCTTTTCTTCTTCCTTCTCTTCCAACCGATCCATCCTTATAACCTACATTTTTCTCGGCCAGCTTTATTAAGACAATAATTTCATTGTAATTACAGACTTTC